GTCCCGAGCTAAGGTAGAGTTTATTTATTATTTATAATAATAAAAGGGAGATAAGTTGCTGATTAATCAGGTTGGTAAAGCCTGATATTTATTTTTAATGTAGGATCGTGTCACTTTGTCAAAACTAAGGGTTTTGTGTCAAGCGATTAATGAAAAATATTCCTTTTTATGATTTGCAATTTATTAATAACAATATATAATTACAATAGTACTTACAATTGATTCGTTGAAACTTAGTAATGTAACAAGCGGCAATCAGGATTACAAATATGTGTTTCTGGATGCGTTGTTATAGAAATCATAAATTGTTACACCTATACAATTTAGATTTTATACGACAGTTAAGAATTATTTAACTCGAACAAAAGATTTATATTGTATAAAATAAAGAGAAACTTGTTTCTCTTGTACAAAACTTTTGTAAAACTCACTAAACTCGCGGGTTTAAATAACGAAGTTTAAACAATTACAAAACTGAAGGGCCGATTCTCAGACACTGTTCGGGCAGAAGCTCGTCCGATTAACTGACATTTTGCAATAGAAAAACTGGGGTTTATATACTACATGATCTTTGTTCATTGGGGTAGAATTGTCACGTATAATTTGCAGACAGCGCAATTATCACGTACAATTTTCATTTAGCGCAAAAGTCACGTACATTATTTATTAATAGAATTATAATAATATCTTAATTAATTTATTAAAATTTTAGTTTATTGATTATTAATTAGTTGATTGCAGTCATTTAGGATGTATAGTGATCGACAATTGGTATTATGAAAAATAATATTAATATCGAGTAATGATCAATAATCTTATGGAATTCTTTAATTTACTATATATATATATATATATAACACATCTGCTTTATGCGAGTCTTCCGCATTCAGAGGTGTTATATTACATCTATCTTTCACTATTAACATCGTGAATGACTCATATGTATGTAATGACCTTTATTTAAAAGAGATAATTTAATTTGTTCATGATCCATCTTTTAAGAATTTTTTGGTACCGGGATGTAACAGGATATTGGTGTAAATTGAATGGGAGGCAGGATTTGAATGTGAGTAAGAGGATTGAAAAAGGGGGAAGAGTGATGAAGCAAGTATGGGGGATTGGGGAAAGAAGATTTAAGAATGATTGGAGAAAGAGAATTTGGTTGTTTGATGTGTTGGTATGGTCGGTTATAAGTTATGGGGTCGAGATATGGGGATGGAGAGAGAGTGAGAAATTGGAAAGATTCCATGAGAGGTTTCTGAGATGGACCATGGGAGTGGATGAGAACTGTCCAGGGTATATTCTGAGGGAGGAATTGGGTAGGGAAAAACTGGTCATAAGGCAAAGAAGAAGAGCAATGGGGTTAGAGGAAAAGCTAAAGCAGGGCAAGGGGAGTAGGGTGGCACAGGCGTGTTGTGCTTTGGTGAAAGATGGAGTAAGGAGAGGAAGGAAGGATTTATCGGGATGGGAGAGAGAGAGAAGAGGGGTATGGAGGAAGGAAGAAGGTGGAGTGAAGTGGAAGGAGATGTAAAGGATGGTTGGAGTAGGAAGGATAAGCAGCAAAGGTGGGAAAGGATAGTTGGATCGCGATACAATAGATGGTACAGGCTGGTGAGAGGGGAAGGGTTACCGGGGTATCTAGAGAAGAAAAAGAAATATAAAGAATGGAATAGGGTGTGCAGGTTCAGAATGGGTGAAGGTATGAAAGAATGTAAGTATTGGATGGATGAGTTTGATAAAAAATGTAGAATATGTAGGTATGAAAGAGAGAGCTGGGCGCATGTGTTGGATAGATGTGTGGGAGGAATGGATGAGGGAAAAGTAGTGGGGGAAAGAGTATGCTGGATTTTAGAAGAGAATGGACAGGGTGAAAAGTGGATGAAAGGTTTAGAGAGTATGAGAAAAGAAAGAATGGGGGGTTGTTAATTAAGGGGTGGGCGTTTTGTTTATGTATTGTTTGGGAGACGAAGCCAAAAAGGGCAATTGAAACTGGAAACGGAAGCCCTGGCACATTAGCGGATATAGATTTTATAGATTTAAGTTAGATTAAGTTTTGCGATTAGGTTAAGGATTTATATATTTAGGTTAAGTTGTTGTATGTATTTGGGAGTCTCGAACCCTGCGTATGCAGAGAGAGTAAATAAATATATATATATATATATATATATATATATATATAATAAACAAAGTACAAAATATCTTTTATCAAAAATTAATAATTTCCCAAACTGAAAAAAATGTTAAGTTGAAAAAACAAACGTAACAAAAATTTTTTTTTAAATACTCTCATATTTGTAATGCTCTTAATTATAACTTGTATTTGTTTTTTCTGTTATTTGTTTAGAATAAATAAAAATTAAGTGTGAATATAGATAACTGATTGTAAATTTTCCGAGGATTTTGAATTTGGGCTTAGTTTTTGTCTATATAACTGTGCATGCCCACAAAAAAGCAAATACTGTAAGGAAACTTTGAAAAAATTTGAATTAGCTCACTGTTTTGCATAAAAATGGTTAAAAACTCAAAATATGCAAATTTTAGGTATAACCATTTTAAAGTATAGCTTTTCAGCTGTCTTTCCTGAAAATTAGAGCCAAATCGTAATAGTTGTTTTTGAGTTATGAATTTTAAAAAAACAATTTTTTTAATCTACTGCGCATGTGTTTAGAGATAGCTCAAAAATTCCAACGGCATTGGATTCTTTGGAAAATTTCCCATCAACTAGTACCTGTCCAATTTTTTTTTTGACCAAAATTAACATTTTTTCGAGCAGAAATGGATTTTTCAATCTTCATTTTGAAAGATGTCACTTTTCACGAAATTAACGATTGTGAGTGTTCTTTATGAGATAGGGGCTTGAAACTTTGGCTAGTTGAGTATTTTTAGAGGTAGAATACGCCTAAAAAATTTGAGCCAAATCGATAACTTGTCACCGACAACTGTTCGTTTTACCCGTGGAATCCCTCTAAATATAAAAAATTAATAAAAATATTGATATTCATTATATAATTTATCAGTTACTCACACAGTTGAATCTTGCTGTTGAATATCATTCAACATAATTGTCGAAGAAAAATCAGTTTTTGTTTTCAAATTCTCCATAATATGAAGTTGTTTCGATACACTAATGAAAGGAACTGAAGTTCTGGAAAGCGTCACCACTGATGCTTTCCTTATAATTTTTATTGTTTTATTATGAGAAATTCATGCATCCCATAAAATTATATTTTTAAAAAATATATTTTATTAATTATTTGTAATTAGAGAATAGTTATTTCTAAGTCTAAAGAATGTTTTTAAAAATCAAAAAGTTTAAATTTTTTTAAAGAAAAAAGTTACTATTAATTTAATAAATATTAATAAATATCCCCATTGAAAATCGCTATACAAGATCTTGTACAAGAAGATATTCATGTTCAAAAGTTGAACTTGTACAAGTTCTTGTGTGGAAAATCTACATTTTCTTATACCAACATTTGAAAGAAGTTCTTGTCTCAAAACTTGTACCAGATCTTACACAAGAAAATTAGCAAATAAAAAATATTTCGTTCTAATACTGTACAAAAATGTTACTATGTATATAATTTAGCAACAGTAAATAATAACCTTAGTTTTAATTTTAAGTAATACATATTCTTAAGTGTTTCATTCGAGTATCATCACAAAAAATAAAAGTTTCGTGGATTTGCCCATATGTAATCTACATAAAAATGACTAAGATAACAAAATGCTTGTGCTATGGTCAGCTTCGTGACGGACCATGGTCTGATTGATTGAAACGATGTGCCGGCAAGAATACATTTGAATTAAATAAAATAAATTTTTTTTGAAGTTTAAAAATTATTTTTCTATTAAAATATTTATATCAAATTTTTCTCCTTTTTTGTTAAAACTTTGACGGATTTTATTTTGACAGAAAAAAATTACAAGTAAATGATTCCTAATAATTTTTTTTCTTCAGAAAAAGACCTTTCAAATAAGACGAAAAACATTTAAAACCATTTATTATTTTTTGAATAATTCAAATTTTATTAAATCATTGAAAAATACACTTTTTAAAAAATATTTTATTTAAATATTAACCACATTACCATCCACAAACAAAGTTCTGGCATTGGCTTCATAGATTGGTAAATTGTTGTCCTATATGAAAGTAAAAAAATATCAAAATTTTAACTAATTTTAAAAAAATTATAAAAAGTAGAGAGGATGGAAATATTGTGTATTATGTAACAATGTTATTTTCAAATCTATATAACTTCTATAAAAATGTATGTATTTTAATTTGTCGAGGGTATTCTGTTAGATTTATAATATACTTGCCAATGTTAAAAACATTTTTTAAAAATATTTTTACCATATTTTTTTAAAATTAACATTTATTTTTCAGTTTTAACAACTTATTTCAATTAAAGTTTCATTGTTATTTTCGTTTGAATGCTAACATTTTTTCCAACAAAACTATATACATATAAAAATGGGACAACATTGGGTATGAAAGAAAATGTGAAAAGAAGGAAAAAAAGGTTTTTAAATTTTCTCTTAAACTTAGTATTGTCACATTTTTATATTTAAACAGTTTTTTTGGAAAAATTGTAATCTTTAAAAAAATAGTAAAAAAATGTCAGGTGGGATAAAGGGTTAAATATAGAAAATAAGGTTTACTTTGAAAAAAATAGGGTAAATTTTTTTTATTAAATTGTTGGCATTGCAAACTACATGAAAACTATAATACTTGTATCCCAAAATAAGGAAATAAAGCAAAATGTTAATGGTTTGCTTGAATTATTATCATTATTTTTTTTTAATTTTTTTGTTAAATTTGAAATTTATCTATATTTAATTTCTTTTATGTCCTATAATAATTTTATCATATTATTATAATTGTCATTATCATTGTTTTTGTTGTAACTACACTTAACAAATTTTACTGCACCTGCTCTTATTGAAAATTTTCTATATTCACATAACTTGACTCATATAAAAACTCGTGGTTAATATTAAATATGACGTAAATTGAATATAGAAATTTTTCGTTTAGGGCAAGCGATGCACCAAATTTTTCCCAGGGTACTATTATTGACATTTATATTTTCATTATAATAATTATTTTTGTCATTATTATTGCCATTAACTTGGACATTATCATTGCCATTATCATTGGCATTATCATTGCCATTATCATTGCCATTATCATTGCCATTATCATTGCCATTATCATTGCCATTATCATTGCCATTATCATTGCCATTATCATTGGCATTATCATTGCCATTATCATTGCCATTATCATTGGCATTATCATTGCCATTATCATTGCCATTATCATTGCCATTATCATTGCCATTATCATTGCCATTATCATTGCCATTATCATTGCCATTATCATTGCCATTATCATTGCCATTATCATTGCCATTATCATTGCCATTATCATTGCCATTATCATTGCCATTATCATTGCCATTATCATTGCCATTATCATTGCCATTATCATTGCCATTATCATTGCCATTATCATTGCCATTATCATTGCCATTATCATTGCCATTATCATTGCCATTATCATTGCCATTATCATTGCCATGTTTATTTTTTTGACATAATAATTTACATTCACACAACATGTAATAGTATACTATTATTATATTTAATTAGAAACATTATTATGTACTATTATATAATATCCAAATATTATTCATTATTACTTTGATATTTTAATAATTATATATAATACGTATTTCATTAAAGTATTTCATGATAGACAACATTTCTGATATACAGTTTATTCGTTAATTCATTTTTTTAAGTATTGCTGAATCAACAGCATGAATTTTTAAACGATTTTTAGATTTTACTCGAGAACAACCAACATATATTTGACCATGACCAAATGCTGAAATTGGTAAATATATTACTACTTTATCAAAAGTTTGACCTTGAGATTTATTAATAGTCATTGCATAAGCAAGTCTAATTGGAAATTGTCGTCTTATCATTTTGAAAGGATATGTGTCTTGTGAAGGGGATAAATTAATACGAGGAATAAAAACTATTTCACCTTTAAATTTTCCAGTTATTATTTCTGCTGAAATTACTTTTTTCAATAAAGATTTTACAACTAATCTAGTTCCATTACATAATCTCTGAACAATATTCATATTTCTTAAAAGCATAATTATACATTCTACCTTCAATGTTAATTTATATGGTGGCAAACCATCTGGTGTTTGACTATTTAAAAATTCTATTGGAATGATACTATTAATATCTGTTGGATCATCATCAACATGTCAATCAATACTATAATAAACTACTTCTTCTCCTTATAATTTTGACAAAATACGTTCATTTATGTCTAATACCTCAGAATTGGTTAGTGAAAGAATGCAAGGAGTATAAACTGAAACATCATTTTGATTGATTGAGGATCCATATATTTCATCAATTAAATTACCATTGGATATTAAATCTTGTGGTATTTCGAAGACATTATTTTCTCTTTCGAACTTACTTTGAGCTTTACCATCACCAACATTTAATAACCAATTTGAAAATTCAATTTTATTTTTATCTAATCTAACGTTTGCATGTAAAGTCATTGCTTTAAAGAGATGCCATAACTTGCTATTTTTCACACATGCTTCAACTATATGAGTACGACTACCATGTAGAAAATTGGTAAAATTTGTCTAAAATCTCCTGACAATAAACTAATTTTACCTCCAAACGGTTTACAACATTTTGTAATATCTCTTAACATACATTCTACAATCTACAGCTTGTAACGCATATTTAGGTGCCATCGTTATTTCATCCCAAATAATTATTTTAGCCCCTCTTAAAAGTTGAGCATGTTTTGATGTTCCATTTATATTACATGTTGAATTTTCATTAATTGGTATAGGGAATTTAAAAACAGAATGTGACGTTCGTCCACCTTTTAGAAGATTAGAAGCTATACCAGTCCATGCAACTGATATAACTACTAATTCTTCACTTTCAAGAGTAGTAATAATTGTATTATCCCAGGTGAAAATGATCCTCACGAATGACGTGTGGAATTCGTCCGGAATTCGTCCAAATTTCCTTAAGAATTCGTTTAGAATTCGTTCAGATTTCCTGTCGAATTCTGGAAAACGCCGTGTGGTGATTTGAAACAGAATTCGTCCATAATTTAATCGGAATTCGTGCGACTTTGATAAGAAAAACGAATACAAAAAAATTTTCTCTTAAATTTCCGAATTACTAACAAATTCTTTAAATAATCTTCGTGTGGATTCCTATAAGAAAATGATAAGAAATCCGCAAGGAATTTTGGCTGAAAATTTTTTTTTTTAAATATTCGCCCACTTTTCCGACCGAATAGTGCGCGGTATTCGTACGAATGACTAACAAATTCTTTAAATAATCTTCGTGTGGATTCCTATAAGAAATTGATAGGAAATCCGCAAGGAATTTTGGCTGAAAAATTTTTTTTAAAAAATATTCGCCCCCTTTTCGGACCGAATAGTGCGCGGTATTCGTAAGAATTACTAAGGAATTCTTTAAATAAACTTCGTGTGGATTCCTATAAGAAAATGATAGGAATTCGGAACGGAATTTTGGGTGAAAAATTTTTTAAAAATAATATTCGCCCACTTTTCCGACCGAATAGTGCGCGGTATTCGTACGAATTACTAACAAATCCTTTAAATAATCTTCGTGTGGATTCCTATAAGTAATGGATTTATTTTTTAAATATTCGCCCACTTTTTCGATCGAATAGTGCGCGGTATTCGGTCGGAAAAGTAGGCGAATATATTTTTAAAAAAATTTTTTATCCAAAATTCCGTTCGGAATTCCCATCAATTTCTTATAGGAATCCACACGAAGTTTATTTAAAGAATTCCTTAGTAATTCGCACGAATACTGCATACTATTCGTTCGGAAAAGTGGGCGAATATTTTTTTAAAAATATTTTTCAGCCTAAATTCCGTTCGGAATTCACATCAATTTCTTATAGGAATCCACATGAAGTTTATTTAAAGAATTCCTTAGTAATTCGCACGAATACCGCGCACTATTCGTTCGGAAAAGTGGGCGAATATTTTTTTAAAAATATTTTTCAGCCTCAATTCCGTGCGGAATTCCTATCAATTTCTTATAGGAATCCACACGAAGTTTATTTAAAGAATTTCTTGGTAATTCGCACGAATACCGCGCACTATTCGGTCGGAAAAGTGGACGAATATATTTTTTAAAATATTTATCAGCCAAAATTCCGTTCTGAATTCCTATCAATTTCTTATAGGAATCCACACGAAGTTTATTTAAAGAATTCCTTAGTAATTCGCACGAATACTGCATACTATTCGTTCGGAAAAGTGGGCGAATATTTTTTTAAAAATATTTTTCAGCCTAAATTCCGTTCGGAATTCCTATCATTTTCTTATAGGAATCTACGCGAAGTTTATTTAAAGAATTTCTTGGTAATTCGCACGAATACCGCGCACTATTCGGTCGGAAAAGTGGACGAATATATTTTTCAAAATATTTATCAGCCAAAATTCCGTTCTGAATTCCTATCAAATTCTTATTGGAATCCACATGAACTGTTTTTAAAATATTCGTTAGTAATTCGCACGAATACCATACGAATTTCGGTCGAAAATTTGGTCAAAATTTTTTGTTGTATTCATTTTTCTGAAAAAAGTCGCACGAATTCTTATTAAATTATGGACGAATTCTGTTTCAAATCGCCACACGGCGTTTTCCAGAATTCGACAGGAAATCTGGACGAAATCTAAACGAATTCTTTCGGAAATCTGGACGAATTCCGAACGAATTCCTTACGAATCATTTGCACCTGGGATGTAAATAACTTTTACCACTACCTTGACATCACCATCAATAAAGAAATATCTATTATGAACTGCCAACATAACATCATTAAAAACTTTGCGTTGTTCATTATTTAAACTTTCAATAAGAATATCATATTCTTCTTTGATCAATTTTAATGATAACGCTTTATCTTCTACACATACAGAAAAATAACGTTCAATAATTTTTTGATTAATATTTGGCAATTGAAATTTATGTAACGCAAAACCATGAAAATTAAGTACTTTATTAATTAAAGTTAACGATTTTTGAATTGACACTTCCACAGGCATATTATTATCAAAAATCATGTCTTCTTTATATTTATTCCATAAAGAAAGAGCATTTGAGGGCAATCCAAACACACATATATATGCAAATAAGCGACAAAGTTCTTTAGGAAATTTCATGCTTACAGCTTCAGTTAAACAGTTATCTCATTCATTATCGTCTATCATCAAATTTCTTGCACGAGCTGCTTCAATAAAAGTGTTATATGTAATACCTTCATATGTCTTTACGTCTTTAAAAGATTTAGCACCACGTACATAAAGTAGTAACGTTCTTAAAAAATAACGTTCAATATCTTTCGGGCTAACATAATACATACGACAAATTATAGGTTTTCTAAATGGACACCGCACTTTCCAAGTCTCTGATGATTTCAGAATGTTACATCCCGGTAACAATTTTCCATAATTTTCCTTAAAATTATCATTAAAATAAGACATTTCAAATAATTCTATGATAATTTTATTATATTTAAACTATATGTCTTATTTAAATGTATTTATTTATGTATATATTGATAGGATAGAGCGTGGAAACGAAATCGCTTTCAAAAGAGATATGACATTCGTTTTCATCATAAAAGTTCAGAGAGTTGAGAAGCTAATAATAAGGTATATGTAAGCAAAATGTGAAACAACTTCGAGCTTGTTTGTTTATACGCGTGAAGAATGTGAAGATTGTGAAGATCCAAGTGTAATATGATCTTCAAAAGCCCATTGTCAGCATATAAGAGAGAGAATCCAGAAAGAAGGATATTCATTGTCATATATGCGATGTAGATCATTACCATATAAGGAAAGCGATTCTATATATAGATCACCTCCTCCTCAATTATATGACATTTCTCCCACTAATTAGCATAATCAACTAGTATATAAATAAGAGCTTTTTTCATAAAGCTTGTCAGAAGTTCCGGTGCAATCTCTAACATCGTAGAGCGACCCTTCAATTTACTTTCGCTATAATTATTGTATTCTTTCCTGATTGCCAATAGGTGCAAGTTAATTTGACTTTTCACTTAGAACATAGTTCTTTCCTGATAGCCAATAGGTACAAGAGAAGCAAATAAACACTTAGGATCAATAATTTAATAGAAATAACTGTCGTATTTATAACTATAAATACTAAAGAAATCTTACATTATCTCATTTCTAAATTTATCAATTTAGTACACCTTGTTTCTCTTACACCTGCAATAAAATTCATTCCTGTCAAAGGTGCGAGTGACGAGAAATAACAATAAAGAATGTTGTAATTCTTTAAATAGTTATAAAACAATATAAGTCGTTAAAGTTACACAAGTGCAACAAAACGAACTATTTCAAATCAAATTAAAACCAATTTATAACGTCTAAGCTATAATCATCGATTTATCCGACTTCATTGTAAACTTATATCATTATTGTACAATCATTACTATTTAATTATTATTTAATCAAAATGTTATAAAAGGGAATATTTGACTTGTTAT